TTTTGTTAAAAATATTTTAAAAAAAAAAAAAAAAAAAAAATGTAAAGGAATGTAAAACCCCTCCCCCACAATTCTAGGTTTAACCAATAATTTTTGACATGGCAGGGATGTGTCTAAATACATTGTGCTGGAAGGTGTCACTCTCTCTCATCTCAGAAAGTTGGGATGTACGCAACAATTACAATGTTTCTCATGACAAGTCCACTTTATTGAATAACACCATCTTCAATTTAAGATGGAGCGGAAATATGGGCATCAAAAAAGATTGCCATAAAAAAGGTGCATTATTCTTTAACCCTTTCGCTGCCAAGGACGTAAGTCGTACGGAGCTACAAAAGTAAAATATTAAAGTTGTGGGGTTTTTGGGGAGGAAAAACAGATTCACAATAGTTTTTTGTTTTGTATAAAAAGGAATGTTAAAAACACTTCTGCCCTAGAAAATCATAGGTTAATGCTTTCTGTATGATTTCTCCATATTCAGGTTGCAGTTAAAAGGTTTCACGGCATTCAGTGGAGTATTCACTGCATACAGGTGTGTGAGAAAGGTGGAGATTGGTTTTACTTTGCCTTCTGCTTGACATTTATACACACTGTCTTTCACTTAATTTTAAAAGCCAAGATAGAACTACCTGATTTAGGCATCCCATTTACTTAAACTCAACTTCTGTGCGTATATAAGCAGTGGAGATGCTGTTGGTTACACGATGTTTAGTGATGCAAGCTAGGTGGTCATCTTTGTGATCCTGGCTGCACTAAGGACTAGCTGGCCTGGAAGCAGCATGTAGCCAGTGAAAACTGAAACCAGCCATAGGCAAACTCTGGCCCTCCAGTTCTGGTGCAACCACAAATCCCATTAGGAATTGCAAGGCCCCGACAGCCACAAGCATGACTTTCAGATGCAAATGCATGAAGGGATTTGTAGTTTCACCACAGCTGGAGGTCTGGATTTTGCCTACTGCTGGCCTAAACACTTGTGCCACACACCTGCACAGGTGATTTATCGAGTAGTGAAGCAAGGATCAGAATGACAATTCCTAAGCCTGCATCTTTAAAAATTAAATCAGCTGCTGCTCCTCCGATACATGGCAGTGTTGTAATTTGATGGAATTTGTTATTAAAAAAAAAAAAAAAATAAAAAAAAAAAAAAGGAAAAAAAAAAAAAAATGTAAAACGGCGTCTCAGTATACCGCGAGCAGTAGCTTGGGGTATACTGAGCTTAGGGTGACGGGAGGACGCTAGTTTGTGTCCTCCCGTTACCCTAAGTAGAACTATGGGCAAAAGCCCTAACCCCATAGTTCTCCTTTAATCTTTGATTCTTTGGAAAAATGAAACCAATGAATCCAATTGATCTTTATAGGCAACACCTCAACTTTAGTTTCTCATTTTTACTTCCACAGGTTTTAGAAACAGGACCTTTGTTTCCAGAGCATTATATACTACACAGTATCCGAGTGACCATCTCTCCCTTATTTAAAAGATCACATGTTTCCTGCTCCACAAATCTAACATGCTGCCATCTAGAAAACATTTCTGTAGACAACCTCATCTACTGAGCAGGAATCTATTATTGAACCATTACTGCTTTCCCTCATATCTAGGAATGGATTAAAGACCAAGAGAAGTGGCTAATCCGGGGATAGGAATGATTTAACATTTTAGGACACGCAGGGAAATTACCTCTATATCAGGCTGTCAACCAGGGTGCTGTGGCACCCACCCTGGTGTGCCTTCTGACTTCCTCAGGGTAGCCTCAAAATTCTGTGGTAGTGGGACTGATGTTAAAATGGGAATACAGGCTGAGGTGAAGGGAGCTCCTGATGTAAAGGAGAAACTCTGATGTGAAAGGTGGGGGGGACTCAGATATGAAAGAGGAGCTTCTGATGTGAAAGGGTGACTGATGTGAAGGGGGGAGACCTTGATTTGAAGGTCACACGTCGATGTGAAGGGGGAAACCAACTTTTGTGTCTTTTGGCATGGGATCCCCCCAATAGTCTGACATTTTAGACTGGGGTGCCATAACTAAAAAAGGGTTGAAACACAAGAGGACTTACAATGATACAACCTCAAGCCCAGCCATTATCCCTAGATAAAAGGCTTGTCAATGCAATATAAATACTACACTGCTAGGACATACATTAAGAACATGAATATTAATGCATATCAGAAAAATGACAATCTTGTTTATAACCAGTTGTAAAAGTCACAGAATCTTGTGAAGCCTTCCATTTTATACAAGACAACATAAAAGGGCAGGTTTTATTTATACACCATTGAAGCTTACAAAGAACACATGCATCAAAAACCCACAAAAAAAACAACACACTAGTCTTTGTTTGTTTGACACAGTTCTTATGCTGCCAACTTACAGTGCAAGATAACCGTCAGCATACCACAGCGCTTTCTTAAATTTACACCTCACATGCTCTTCACTTACAATTTGGTATCCTGAGCTTCCTTCTGCATGATTTCCATAATTATTTTACAAGCTGTTGAACAGCCTTCGGGAGTTGAGTGAATAGTAATTGGTTTCTCTGCAGCTCCAGCGTTTTCTTTACGGTGAATATCAATTCTGAGAGAAAAAGAGGCAGCAGATTAAACTTTAAAATTTAGCACAGTTTTTTTTTTGAGTCAATCTAAAAATAAGTGGAGGGGACTGCATTGAAAACAATCTGCACATCTACATCAGTGGATTGCTTTGTTGGCTGAGGCAATAGACATGCAATCAATTAGTTCAAAGAGACCTAGATATGTAAAATCTAGGTTAACGTTACCATATCCGTAATGGAGTCAGGGTGCTGGCAGTGCCCAATAACAGCCCTGGCCTATGAGCCATTCACATTCTCTACTTATCAGCCAGATAGTGTTCAACAAGTATATGCTTCCATGAAGGCAACTCCTCAAAATGCATGCTGCATAAGCGGTGTTGAAACTCTGAAGCAAGAATATGTATTGGCGCCAATTCTAACCGCTATACTGTTAGAGGTACAAGCACAGAACATGTATGTACAGACTATAGCAAATGTTCTTACTATACGATTACTTGACTGATTGAAAGAGAAGCAGTCCACGGGTGCTTACACCGGCCCACACCAGTGCTAGTTGACATCAAATACTTGAAGTTTATTTAAAATGGATAACATCACAAAGTGCTTTAGGTCTCCGCTCTAAAGAGTTTACCAACAAGGAGTACAGCATTAACTTAGACCTAAACTATAGGCAAAGATGTGTTAACAGTGCATTAATATGCACCACAAATATGAAGCTGAATGTTCAATATATTGTTAGCAAACGTGGGACTGCTGCATTTTGGCAATCCAATGGTGACTTCACAGTAGTTGAGCTGCACTGAGCACACTACATAACTGTGCCTAATTTCCAGGACAGTCCAAAGCTTTAAATGATGGTCACCCAGAAAAACCGATCAAGTACACAATTTGTTTTCAACCAAGTCCTCCATATTAACTTACTTTGACTGTGTCTGTTTAGTAATGTTTCTGATGGTGGCACCCTCCTTTCCAATAATGGCTCCTACGAATTGTGTAGGAACCAGCATGCGCAGTGGTACCTCAGACTGGGGTTTAGGTCTTGCAGTAGCCCCAGGAGAACCCTGCCTTGGTGGTCCCCTTTGGCCAAACCCACGTCTCCCTTGAGGATGCTGCTGCTGCGGCTGAGGCTGTAGCTGCTGGGAGGGTGATTGTTGGGCAGCCATCTCATCAGGAATATAAGTCACTTTAAGGGAATAGTTTTCAAGCTGATATCCGTTCAGTTTTTCAAGCCCCCTAGAGTTGAAAGAAAGAAAAGGACATAAAAATAGCCTTTTTGAGACACTTGAGTAATATGTAACTAAATGTCTATCATAGGATATACACAATGGGATGAGAGTGTTACTATTGCATGTATTAGGGTTTTTTGTTTTTTTTTCCAGGGAGGACACAGAATTATATGCAATTGTTACTACTGCATGTTTTACGTTTACGTGCAAAATTTTAGTAACCTTTTTTGTGTAATACATTGGTTTTCCAGTCACATAAGTGATAGCAATCTCTACAACCCTCATGGCCTCAAGGAGCACACACTCTGAACCCAATTCCAGAACGCTTCTCTTTCCTCCTAATTGCGGAAGCGGGAAAAAAGCAGCAATTGCACCAGTTGTTTTTTCTGTGTGATAAAGTTACACTACCATTCTCTTAAATATGAATTAATTCACCATTAAATTCATTCACCGTTACTACATTTTCAAGCATTGGCTTTACAGGGACAGCTTGGTAGTAGACAAACGACTCGCAAGCCTTTCTACGCAACAGTTACAGCAAACCCAGAGCGATTCACGTCCAGGTGGATGGGAGCTAGACTTCTGTTCACCACAAGGTGGCACAACACTCATTAGAATGGAGTAAAACCGATGCGGTGCGTTTGCTTAGCTTTATCGAAACACAAGTCAGCATAACGTAACCACCATTAGGATTACCCTAACGGACACATGCAAATATAGCACTTTAAATGTATTTATGGCTACAACTGCACTCACTCTAGTTAAACGCCGCAGAGTGAAAACCTTTTCAAGTGACAACAACAGTGCTGGTTTTCCAGACTTCTAGCCAGTCACAAAATTGTATTAACAAAACCACACACACTGTATAAAGTTCAGATACCAATCACAATCTATCCTTAAAGGATCTAGCTGAAATCTGATTGCTAGGAGTTGTTGCACTTGGCACTTAATAAATGAACCTGCTTGTGAAAGAACCTGCGTGTGTTCACATTGTTCACGTTACTCCAGGGAAACATTTGGGAAAGACTGGTATAAACGTTCTGCAGCTAAGCTAAGATTGCCCAATCTATCCAAGTAATTCTTAAACTCATGCTAAAGGTTGGTTATTAAACCCTGAATGCAGAACACAATAAAAAAGGTCAGTCCATCCTCCAAAAATGTCAGTCAAGTGGGGTATACATGGTTAAAATTTTGTACGAAAGTAGTCGTTTTCAGAACGTTCGTTCAGGTATCAATTAGTATGGTGGAATCGACAGATGAAAACGTCAATGTTCAAATAAAGTTTCAAAGGCACGTTAGAAATTTGTTGGATGAACGTTCATGCAAATATCTACATCGTGTACCCTACTTTCTCAGCTCTCAGACTTTTTTCTGATCTCTTCACAATTTCTTTTTACAGGTCAGCACAACTACTGCCGAGCATTTATTCATTTTAGGTTATTAAGAATGCAACAGCATAGATGGGAATTAACAACCCAATAGCAGGAGGATATAAACAAAAATGGGATCTACAGCAAGGAAACCTCATGGCTGGTCTCCAAGAACCTTCTGGTTGAAAGTCCACCAGATTTCCCAAACACTCTGATGCTGGGATTCCAGCAACATGTAAAAAGGAGGATGGAAAGAAGCGCTGCAACCCTGGGATATTGTGGGGATAGTAAAATAACAACTTTGAAAACTTAAAAACAATACTGGACTGAAAACTCACTGTTTGGGTGGACAAGATGAGGTCTTGCAAATCAGAAGAAAGGCTGTATGAATCGCTCAGCAGTGTCTTGGGGCGATCGGTGTGGTGAGAGATGGTGGTGACAGCTAGGGGGCTCCTGTGGCTGGAGCGCAAGAATTTGCCGTCCTGTAGCCTTGTTTGTACACAGGCTCTGCACTGAAGGTGTTCGTGCCGTCTAATACCGTGGGAGGTCAGCTGGCCAGGCTGAGACCCGACGGCTGAACGGGAGCGAAATTGCCGCTCTGTAGCGGTTTGAAAAACTGTCAGCAGTCGTTGTGACAGATCGTTTTTGGAGATAGGCACGGGGCTGGAAACCAGTGCGGTCTATCTCGCTGGGTGATGGGAATGTCAATCGGGCAGTTTGGCTACGCGTTTCGAGGTTCAAGACCTCTTTGTCAAGCCAGAAGTGGTTTATTGGAACAGGCGGGAGAAGCAGCGGTTTAAAAATACTGACAGGTGGGCGTGGTTACCAATCGTCAACGGATGTCATTGGTTAGTTGGTACAGTGTTTGTGAGTGGGCGGCTTCGAAACCGCTGGTGTAGGGAACGTCTCTTGTGTGTGATCTGAGATCGTGAGAGGAGCCTTGGTCCATTGAATGAAAAGGTTTAGAAGAAGTGCACTTTTGCTGGTACTGGACAAATGTGCTGTTAGTATGGGTAATGGGGTGACTGGATACCAACTTCTCCATACACAGTTATTATATGGAGAGTGTGTGTTTGGATGTGAGGTACTACTTAAACTGCTGGAAACGCTTATATAGTGGTATGTTGCAAAAGTTAAGTGAATGGGTATGTGTTCTATGGCGAACACTTGCAGGGCGTGGATGTTTTTGTGGTGTTTGGCAGTAAAATGCCTTGGCACACTGTGTTCACCTGTGTTCACCTTTTATGTTTATACTAAACAGGATGTACGTCTGGGTTTACACCTAGGCGTATCGAATATGCGCGTTTGTCGCGCGTTTTGCGGACAAACGCACGTTTCCGAGGGCTACCTGACTGTATCCCAATGGATACACACAGCAAATACGCCCCAAAGAAGCTCCTGAACTTCTTTGGGCGTAGGGCGTTTTGCAGCGCGTTCCTACGCGCTGTAAAATGCCCAGGTGGGAACCATGCCCATGGGCATTTATTGGTTTTCACATGTTGAGCGTTTTACAGAGCGTAAAAACGCGCTGTAAAACGCCCAGGTGTGAACCAGGCCTAAAGGGCTTCCTTCATCACTTGCAGTGGCTGAGATACCTTGGGTAACAACAAAGAGATAGACAGACAGGAGAGGGGGGGGGGGGGGGGGGGGGGG